TTAAGGAGACGCTGTGAGGAGGGGCTTTTTTGGGGAACAAGTGTTGTATTTCGCGGCAACACTCTCTACGGCTCCAAGAAGAACTTTGCTCCAGAATCCTTGCTGTTGTGGACTCATGTTTGATTCTTTGCCTTGACGTCTGCGGACTAATGGCAACGCGGCTCTGTTCCGGGTTTTTGCTGAGTTCCCGGTGGACTCTCTGTTGCGAAGTTCCAAGTCATCCATCATGAACTTTGCCAAGGTTGAGATCTTACCTTGCTCCCGGAGGGTTGCTGCTCCCTTGGATTTGCATTGCCAGGAGGTTGCACGGAATGTGTCCCTGTGCGTGTGTTTGAGCCTTGTTCTTGGACTGTAGGTGTAAATTGTGTGCAGAGACTTTGGGAACGGACCGGGAATTGCTGGATTGTGGGGATTCTGGGGGATGGTGGTGGAATAAACTCTGACAAGCCTCCACCTAGCATGTGTTGCTGGCGCACCAACCCTGGGTCATAACACTGGGACCCAATCAACCACTCAGTTGCAGTCTCTATGCGGGGTAAGGACTGATGCCTCCTCTTCCCCAAAATTGTCTGGAAAGTCTGTGTCTCCCCCTCTTTGGGGCCTTTAGCTGTTTGCTGCAAAAGAGTCGTTACTAGCATGCAGTGGTGCTGGCAAGTCAGCATGGGTCTGTTGCAGGGTTGTAAAGCTTTAGCCACGTTGACCAAGACAATTAGAACTTGCAGGTTGTGTGTCACATAAAGAGTGAAAAGTTCTGTTAGTTTCAGTGGTATTGTAGTCTATGTAATAGGACCTGCTCTTAAGGGCTGACTATCGTTTCTACCTGCATGGGAGTAACAGGGTTTACTGTATCTATGGAGATTCTCAGTCATCCAGGTCATGGTTGTCCCAAAGGTGCTTTTTCAAGAGGCAACTGGACTTTGTTTTTCTTTGAAAACGTTTTGCTTCTCATCCAAGAAGCTTCTTATATTCCTTGCAGACAGCTGGTCATTTGCACTCTTTTAGAGAGTCGTTGAGGCCCTGGATGTCTAATAATCTCCATAGACATTTAGCTATGCAATTTGGGGTGAACACCCTTCAAATTGTGCGGGAGTATGAACTGATTTCCAGAAAAATTGCGGACTACAGGAACCATTTGCGCTTCAGTTTGAGATGCAGACAACAGATTCATCCTCAACAGCCTGTGCCTATGTTCAACAATGAAGGGACACAGGGCAGAAAATATCCTGCAGAAAGCACAGTTCCACGATACAGTCATTTCAGCAGTTCCAAGAAGGCTCCACACCCATTTGCACTACTCAGGTGAACCTGTGGAAACAGATAAACCTCCAAGTGGCCTCAACAACTCTCTAAAAGAATGCAAATGACCAGCTGTCTGCAAGGAATATAAACCCTTCCATTCCCCACCATCCAGTCAGAGCTGAAGAAGCTTCTTGGATGAGAAGCGAAACGTCTTCAAAGAAAAACAAAGTCCAGTTGCCTCTTGAAAAAGCACCTTTGGGACAGGGTTTACTGTAGGAATTTGCAATGCTTTGACTGTTGCTAACTCTTTTTTATTATTATTAGTTTATAATATAAAATATAAAAATACAAAAGAAAATAGTGGGAAACTAAGGGAAGGAGAAGGGGAAGAGAAAAGTGTAGGGCAAAGGGGAAAAAGAAATAAAAGGCGTTGACTTCTGACTCCCTTTGGTGCAGTAGGATAAGATAATAGTATTAAACATCAAATTTTTACTTTTGCATAATAATATAAACTAGCCATTTCTATAACAAAGCTATCTAATTGGTAAAACCCAAAATCAAAGTTTCATTTTTTTTCCACCTCAAGCACAAAGTCCAGAAGCTGTTTCCAAGTAGAAACAAAAGTAATTGTATTTTTTTCTTTAATCAAAGCAGTCAATTTAGCCATCTCTGCTAACTCCATCAACTTTCACAGCCATTCATCCATTGTGGGAATCGGTGTCCTTCCATTTTTGTGCATAAAGTAATCTTGCTGCTGTCAACATATATCACATCAACGGTCCAATTTTTTTTTCAAGTGTTTTTCCATTAAACGCAAGGGAAAAGTTTCTAGTTTCATCTTTATATTCACTTTGAGAAACTTCTGTATTAAGATGTGAATCCTACTCCAATATTTCTTTTCTTTATCACATGTCCCACCATAAATGATAAAAAATCCCTTCTTTACATTTGCATTTCAAACATTCATTTGAAATACCTTTATACATTCTTGACAACTTATCTGGTGTTAAATACCAGCGATACATCATCTTGTAAAAGTTTTCTTTTAAATTATAATTTAGTGTAAATTTCAGACCTTTCGTCCATATGTTCTCCCATTGTTCAAGCATTACATTGTATCCAAAGTTCCTTGCCCATTGAATCATGCAATGCTTTACATACTCATTCTCCAAATTCAAATTCAATAACAGTTTATAGACCTTAGCAATAATATGTTCATCACTAACACACAGTAGGATTTCCAATTCATTTTTCACAAAGTCAAACCCATAACTCTTACTGTATGATTTTAATCTTTCAATTGTAAATATGTAAACCAATGGCAGACACGTCCTTCTGATTCTAACTGATCATTGCTGACATGTTTCTACACCATGATTGGAGTCAACCTGTGGTAAATTAAATTGGACATGATTTGGAAAGGTACACCTCTCTACAGAAGGCCTCACAGCTGACAATGCATACTGTAGCAGAGCAAAAGCCATGAGGGTCAAAGGATTATTGCAAGGCACAGATCTGGGGAAGGCTACAATAACATTTCTCCTGCACTGAAGGTTCCTAAGAGCACAGTGGCCTCCATAATTCTCAAATGTAAGAAGTTTGGCACAACTAGAACTCTACCAAGAGCTGGTCGCCTGGTCAAACTGAGCAATCAGGGGAGAAGGGCCTTAGTAAGAGAGGTGACCAAGAACTCTGACTGAGCTCCAGAGATCCTGTGTGGAGATGGGACAGAGTTCCAGACAGACAACTGTCACTGCAACCCTCCACCGATCTGGGCTTTATGGCAGAGTGGCTAGACAGAAGCCTCTCTTCAGTGCAAAACACATGAAAGCCCGCTTGGAGTTTGCAAAAAAGCACCTGAAGGTCTCTCAGACTGTGAGGAACAAGATTCTCTGGTCTGATGAAACCAAGATTGAACTGTTTGGCCTCAATTTTAAACATTATGTCTGGAGGAAACCAGGCACCTCTCATCACCTGCCCAATATCATCCCAACAGTGAAGCATGGTGGTGGCAGCATCCTGCTGTGGGGGTGTCTTTCAGCAGCAGGGACTGGGAGACTGGTCAGGGTTGAGGGAAAACTGAATGGAGCAAAGTACAGGGATATCCTCAATGAAAACCTGTTCCTCAGGACCTCAGACTGGGCTGAAGGTTCACTTTCCAACATGACAATGATCCTTGGAACTTGGGCTTGTTATGGGAACAGTTCACTTCTCCGTCAAGCACCTGCTTTAGTGACCTCGGCATTCCTGCAGGCTCTCACTGTCCATGAACGGCTTCTTAGAATCCTGTTTCCTCCCTGCATTATCTACCCCTTCCCCCTTTTCTATGGCAAGTTGATTAGCAATAGAAGTTAGCAGGTCTCATAGCGATTCAATCTTGACAACACGAATCTTCCCCAGCCTGGCAGCTTTTGCTTGGGAAAGACTAAATAAGGTTCAATGGTATTTTTGGGGGGGTGGGGGGTGTCAGAATCCAGGCTAATTTCCTGCTTGAGCCCCCCTTCCAACTCCAACATTATCTCGAATGATGAAGCTGAGAAAACAGTCACTTCACACCTTTTATGCAAACTGTAAGAATGGCAGGTTTTAGTGACCGTCATTCTTTACTCAGTTCAACATTGCCCATTATTGAGTGGGCCCCATAACAAATCATTATCAGAATAACAATGATAGAGCTGTATGAACCAAAGCATTTCATACCGTGGATTTGGGGTAATGTTTGTATATTTTTAAACATGGTTGCCTGTGAGCATGGAGAAGAAGGCTTTTCCCTCTTTACTGAGCAGCAATAGCTGATCTCCTACTCATCTAAAATTGGATGGCCTCATGGGAGCCAGATGTTAGGACATCTGCACTGATTTATGTATTCACTGAAAAATGAACAGCTGTATTCTGCCAACTGTAAAATTACAAAAATTGAGCAAGTTTCTTAATTGACACAATGAGGTTATCTTTTTTGTGAGTAGAAGAGAGAGGACATGCACAGGATCACCAAATGGAAGATTTTAATTGTTCTTCCCAGTGCTTTTTTTGTAAAAAAAAAAAAAAAAAAGGCGCCGGAACTCACACACGTCATACAACCTGCCTTGCCTACCCTACAAGGTTCCATCCAAAAAAGGTGCTAGAACTCCATTCTGGGCATTCTATGACAAAAAAAGCCCTGGTTCTTCCCCATCCTCGAGCAATCAAGTTTGATACATCCATACTAATAATATCAGCAGAGAAACAGTTTTAATTCACCCTGGAGTCACAGTGGTGGCAAGCCCTCAGGATCTAAGACAGGGTGGGCAATTACATTTCCCAAGGGGCCACATGAGAAACTGGGTCTGTTGTGGAGGATGGCCCCTTCCTCCCCTACCATCTCCACCAATGCCCCATCCCCACCAATAGTGATGCTGCAGGCTGAACAGGGACAGCTGAAGGGCCAGATGTGGCCCGTGGGCTATAAAATGTCCAGGTCTGATCTAAGAGTTCCTCCTGGCTATGTTTTAACATCAGCAGAACAAGGATGGCCAAGTGAGGGAAGAGAATTGTAGACAGTGCAGGCCTCTATTAACCATGTTTGGGCTGCCTATTGTCAGTCTGTAGCCTATGAACTTACAATCTTTTAAAAGAGTTAATAGCTACTGAGATTCTTAAAAAACAGGATTCTGCACTCACACTTCTCCATCTGTCAGACTTACAGGAAGTGGGTTTCTTGTTCTGTCCCCACCTTCCCCCCCCCTTTGACTTGCTCTGTAACTTGCCTCTTCTTTTCCCAGAATGAAGAAGAGGATGACGAAGAGGATGATGAGGATGAGGAGGAAAATGAATCAGAAGGCAGCAGCAGTTCCTCATCCTCTTCAGGAGACTCTTCTGATTCAGATTCCAATTGAATTGTCTTTTATCTTGCCATCTTTCTTGCTATACTTTATTTGGTTTTGTTTTTCTGAATAATAATAACATTGCAGCTGAAGAGCTGGGATGGGGAGGAAATGGAGGGGGAAATCACTGTGGTTTAATTAACCTCCTTTCTTCATAGGCCTTTAATTTAACAATGTGTGGCTGTGGGGGAGAGTAGCAGGGGGCAAGGTACACAGTAGCTGACAACCAGCAAAGTGCTATACTTTTTCCCTTTTCTTTTCTTTTTGGGTGGGTGATGATAGTGTGGGGAGAGAATTGTATTGTATAATCCTCTCTCTCTTTCACACACCCCTATCTCTGTTTATGAGAGATGACAAGGGTCATTGCAAAATCCAGGCCCCTTTACCTTCCCCCCCCCCCTCTCATCTCCATCCCTCTTCCAACCCCCAGTTGTAGCCACCAGCTTGGGACTTCGTACAGATTCTTTTTAACAACAACAACAACAACATGGCAATGAGAGACATTTCCCCTTTTTTCTCCATCAACCCCAGCAAACAGCCAAGGAGAGATGGGTTTCGAAAGAGCACAAGCTGTGGGAAGTTGTGGACTTTGCCAGTGAGCCCCATCTCTCCTGAAAATGGACAATCTTGTATAGTCTTGATCTTTCACACTTTGACAAAAGAGAGAGAGAAAAAACAAAATGGATGCAGCTGCACTTAGCTATTTCCTGGAACAAACTGGATATCCAGTGTTTCCTGCTGAGGGAAATAGGGTTTTGTGTGAGTGTGTTGCGCGGGTCAAGGGATAGAAGAGGGACTGAAGAACAGGATTTTTTAAAATTATTTTTTTGCAAAGGGGTCTGGCATACTGTTGAAGATGGAAAGAATTTCAAGAACTCCAAGTGACTGACTTTATTTTGCTGGTGGTGGACTTTTCTGTCATTTTTCTGACCAGCATTTGGACAAAGACTGTAGTAGTCAGACCCCTTTGGGTTGATGATGTTGATTTTATACACATACACACACACACACATACACACACACACACCCCAAAATGGGGCATTTTGTTGACTGTCTTTGGGGAGGGGTGGTTGGTTTAGGGGATCATATGTGTCATTAGCATTTTATATATATAACATGGAATAGATAAAAAACTATCACCAAGATAAAATCATAAACAAAGCTGTTTAATCTACAAAAGTACTGAGCTTTCGTCGGCCACACTGCCGACATCGTCAGAGTATGAAATGCTGGATCCGGGAGTCTGTTTTTATGTGACTGGCTGCCTCTGCGCCTTGACCCTCGATCGGGTCATTGGTCCGCTCATTAGCATCGGCCGAGTTGTTCTTAAACGGGCTGACGAAAGCTCAGTACTATACTGAGTGGAGTGCTGGCTTAGTTGCTGTAGGTGGGTTGGTTGGCTGTGTGGGAGTTATTGTTTGCGGATTGTTTGGCTGTTTTGTAACATCCTGAGTAGTTGACATCCGCAAACAATAACTCCCACACAGCCAACCAACCCACCTACAGCAACTAAGCCACCACTCCACACACCCCCACCAATATTTATAGAGAGACGGCAGCTCCGATCACACTTTGCTCGCACAAGCACGAAGCTGAAGACCCCAGCCTGAAGATGACGAGTGGGACATCATCGAAATGTCACCAAGATACTCTCAATCTTTATATATATATATATATACCTCAATCTCCAGGAGAGGTATAAACATGCTGTTTATTGTTAAAAGAATTTTAAAACAATAAAAACAACTATTTACAATATTAAAAAACAACTTAGCTTTCGCTGCCCGGGATTCGCATTTTCGCAGTTATTAAGGATATATATAGATATATACACGCACACATACATACATACATACACACACATACATACATATACATATTTTCGCACTTATTAAGGATATATATATATATATATATATATATATATATATATATATATATATATATATATATAAATAAATAAATAAAACGAACACCAGGGTAAAATCATTAAACTATATGAGTTTAATGCCACTATACAAATGCCGAGCTTTCGTCAGCGTTCTGCTGACATCATCAGGGCTTGATCAGCCAGTCTGTGGGAGTGTCTTTATAGGTTGAACACAGTCTGCACACGGCTTTTGGACCTAGTTACCGGTCCTAGTTGCAACAG